AAGAATGAAAGACCACATACACAGGGCATTGAAATAGAGATCAAACAGATAGTTTGGGAGTCACAATCAAGGGAAAATTCATACCTTTCAAGGCAGGAAGGCTAGGTAATTTATGGCCCAGGATGTTTTCTGTCCCAGCAAGATCCATTGCCACTTCCAGATTCCATCTATATCAAGTGATCTTCATCATGTAAATTTGGCCTCTTTGATGTAGAATAAACAACCTTTGTCCCAGGCTGTTTTTGGCCTATATATGGACTTCAAATTTGTTCCCTGAACTAGTATGGAGTGCAAGGGGACACCCTCCCCATGTTGCTGGATTTCAAACTACTCCAGCTCTCACTACCTTCAGAGAGATCCCCAGAAGCTGATTACTACATTCTGCGATTAGACCACATCTTCAGGAGCACCCAGGTCTTTGGTAATTATTCCATTAGTGAAGCCTTTCCTATTATTCCATAGCTCTTGTGTGTGTGAGTGAGTGTGTGCTTACATTGCTGATTGATTTTTCCCTTAATAATATATATATACATTTGAGAGAACTTCACCTCTGCTAATTCACTATCACCCTCCATAAAAGTTGGGAGTATCCCTGGCTGCTGTAACTTAGCCAAATTAATTGAGCTAATTAAAAATTCTCCTAGCTCCAGGTTGCATAACACTGTTCTAGGGGAATCCCTCTAGAAACACAAGATGTGGTGAGGATTTCTCAAAAGAGCTTCTGATTTCTTCAGAGATCATTGCTTGCTCACAAGAGAGACTGTTGTGTCTTCCTTTAAACAATTAAAGTACTGTATTATACTGCATATTGTAAAAATCATCTGAGCAAACGTTGTTGGGTATCTAGGAGAGTTACTATAAACTCATTATCTTGGATACTATGACTAGAATCTTGCAGTGTTGATTTAAATAAAGTAGAAAAAGATTCCCAGTAACATGTTTTGGGATAAGAGTTCTTTTGACATTGTATCAGTCGACAATCCTTCAGGGGCTAATAAAAATGAGGTCTCTTTCTTTCTTTCTTTCTGAAATTTCTGCAGCTCAAGTATTTTAAGATAAATTCTTCAGACATCTTGTGTAAAAATCATAGATCAGGCATTATCTCTAACAGCCTGTGCAGACTGGTCTAAAGGGCCAGCCTGGGGGTGGAGTGGGGTGGGGTTACCACATGCCAGCCGCCCTGACTCTATCCCAATGCTGTTGTCATGTCACGTACCCCACTGCATGGCATACAGCATCAGAGTGCCCCGTTAGCACAGTGTGTAGACACATTGTACCAAAGGGGTGCAAAAGAACCACCACCATGGCACTAAGGGCAGCTTTTTGCTGCCCCAAAAAAGGAGCAGCATTTGCCAGCTCTTTTTGGAGTGGCAAAAAGCTGAATTGGGGTTGCAGCATGTGATTGCCACAGCCCCAATCTGGTGCTCCCAGGGGTGACACAGAGCCACCCCTTAGGGGCCATCTGTACGGCCCCTAAGTTCTGAAACTATGGATCTTGCTGATATTACCATTCAAGCATCAGCAAACTGGTAACAGCTGGGTCCCAAAAATTTCCTTGGTAAGCAGAAGACACTGATATAGGGGGGAAGCAGACGACAGCGTCGGGGACGCCGCGGGACGGTGCTCTGCTGGAGCGAGGCAGCCGCATCGCGGCGCACCAGCGGCGTCCCTGAAAGGAGTGCTAAATTGGCGCTCCTTTCAGAAGTCAGGGAAATTGCGCCCTAAACACGTAGGGCGCACTTTCCCTGACTTTTCCACCACAGCATGTGAGGACGCTGCGGCGGGAGGTTGCCCCCGGAGCGCCAGCCGTGCGGAGGTCCGGCAGCTCCGAGGGCAACCTCGGGAGGAGGAAGGGGCGCCGCTCGTGCAGCTGCCCCTCCTCTTCCTTGCCTTGGAGACGACTTTATTAGTTGTCTGCCGAGGCCCATAATCTATATCAATACAAGGAAGTACCTTTAACCTTTTAAAGGCTTCTCTTTTTTAAAAAAAAAAGCAAGAAAGGATTTCAGCCATGTTGATAGAGCACAAGAATTCAATTCAAAGTTTATATTCCAAGGCTGAACCTCTCAATCTCTTCTTTCCACAAAAAGCATGTTAATTGTTCCATCTGAAAAAAAACAAGTCTTAAAAGCACTCAGGGTCACTTTTACATGTATGTCAGGATCTACCTTGACACAACCAAAAGAACTGACTTAACTGTGGAATCCTAATACAAAGCCAAACTCTGGCCTTTATTTAATTATATTTTTGTTTCAAAGAAGGAAGCCTTGTTCAAGCCCAAAGATACTCAGGAAGAACCTAAAAGAGGATAATGCTAACTATGCACCACATGAAGAAGATGAAAATGGCCCTAACATGAAAACTAGAAAGAAAGATTTATTGTGACCTTGAATGGTTTCCAAAGGAAATTGTGCCATTTTCCACACAAGCTCATCAATGGCTCTTTCACCTGTGGTACAACCTTTTCATCAGGACAACAATTTTTCTTGGACTTTTTCACAACTACAGACCATCTTGTATTCATGAATGACATCTATGTACTCTTCAACCATGCAGTCTTCCCAAGGGCAAAAGGATGAAATACATAATTTTTAGCCATCAATCATTCCATGGACAATTTAAAATTGGTAATTCATTTCCCATAGATTTTAAAGATAACATCCATATAGTTGTGTGTAATTTTGGGGTGCACCAAAACATCCCAAGATTCTCAAAATTGTTAAACAGCTTAACCCAGACTTCTTCTTCTTTTTATTTTTTTACAAGAGACACAGGAATAGAACTGGTTTAATCTTCCGACAGACTCAGTTTGGTGACCAATTTACAGCTGGAGGTACAAAGAGAAATGGTTTGCAGTATTACTAAATTAATTTTGTCTCTTTATGGTGGGCAAGATTAAGAGAACCTGGTGACTGCTATATACTAGTAAGGGGCAACATCTATAACAGACCCCTCACAGTGGGCACCTGCTACACCCCAAATATTGAACAAATACCCTTCATGAGAATCCTTCTACAGACTCTTCAGGAATTTCGAAGGGAGATCATAACTGAAGTTTCTAATGCTGTTTTAAATTACAAATTAGACAAGTCACATCAAACAGCTGTTGTTGTTTGAAGATTTTTCTTATACCAAAACTGTTTTTCCTTTTTCAAGCACTTCCTATTTCTCCTTTTCAATGAAAGTTTTCCAATTCGCAGTCTATCATTAACAAAAAAAAAATCAACAATAAAAAACCCCTATATTTACAAAATTGCTAGATATAGCTCTTATGTAATTGGCAACTTGGGCAGGGGAAATGTGTGGCTATCAATACAATTTGAGTCTAGCTTATTGCGAGGAGGTGTGACATTAATGGGATGAAACCAGGGCAGAACACTGAACACTGGAACTGGATTATTTTGCTGCTGTGGATTCAGCCTATGAGCCAGTGTGGTATAATGGTTTGAGTGGTGGACTGTGACTCTGGAGATTAGGGTTAATTCCCTGTTCAAGCATAAAAACTACTGACATTGGGCAAGCCACATTCTCTCAGTCTTAGGGGGGAAGTAGACTGGCAGCACCTGGGAAGGTGCACCGCAGGATCGAGGCATCCCCACACCTCGATCCTGCGGCACTCCTTCCCCGTCCCTGAAAGGAGCGCTAAAATAGCGCTCCTTTCACAAGTCAGTGAAAGTGCGTCGCAAAAGCTTGCGGCGCATTTTCACTGACTTATCCGCCGAGGTCACGTGCAGAGGGCCGAAGGCTCCAAGGGCAACCTCGGGAGGAGGAAGGGGCGCCGAGTGTGCCCCTCCTCTTCCCTGCCTCGAGGACGGCTTAATAAGCTGTCTGCCGAGGCCCTTAAACAATGGCAATGGGAAATGCTCTTTGAAGAAACTAGCTAAGAAAACCGTATGATAGGTTCACCTTAAGGTTGCCACAAGTCAAAAATGACTGGGATTCTCATAACAACAACAAATTCAACCTCTGTAATAACTAAGAAATTCATTACTGTAAGGGTCTGATGTTATTAATTCTCTTATTAAGGACAACAAGAAATTACAGTACAAAGAAGTTATTACTTTTCTTCTGTTTGCTGTTTAAATGACCATTGGAAACAAACTTTAATCTCATGGATCATTGATGGGGAAAAGTTTAGAATTCCCTTCACATGGAAAAATCATCACATGGCATGAAAGTGATGAAAGGACTTGTAAACAGTGACACTCTTATCACATCTCATGATAATAATAATGCTGGTCTTTTGCAACCACCAACCCATCAAAATCCCTTCTGGAAGGATGTGTGGGTTTTGGTTTTGTTTTTGTTTTTTGGTCTCTTGATACCTCTAATGTCTCACCTTAGTCATTAGCCTCTAATGTATTTTTCACTCTTGTTGTGTCCCATGTATTCACTTCTCTGTTTTGACTGTTGTCAATGAACATGTTAATTTTTTTAAAAAAAAACAAACCCTTCTAGAAGGTCTCTTCTAGCTCCCCTTGAGAGCTTTACAACCTGTACCCTTTCAGCAGCCCCTAACTGCTTGAGTAGTTACTGATTTGACCTCACTACTTACTTCTACATTGTTTTCTAGTTCCTTGTTGTTGTTCTAGTTCTTTGTTGTTAATACTAACATTTAAATCACTTTGTGCCTTGCTGTAAGACTTCATGCTGGTTGCACTCTTTCTTACTGTGTGCTTTTGCCCCTCATTTTTGGTCGTGTCTACATGGGCCAAATAACACATCCTCTCCACCATCCTCATGGTAATCAATCTGGATGACACAGGGCCCAATTCTTGGTTCTGCTGCAAACTTTCTGGATGACACATGGCCAGTTCAGCACCAAACCTGTGGTATATTGTGTTTGTTGTGTGATTTCAAGTCATTTCCAACTCACAGCGACCCTCAGGTGAACCTATCATGGAGTTTGCTTGGCAAGATTTATTCAGAGGAGGCTTGCTATTGTCACCCAATGAGGCTGAGAGAGTGTGACTTGTTCAAGGTCACCCAGTAGGTTTCTATGGCTGAGCAGGGATTCAACCCCTGGTCTCCAGAGTTGTAGTCCAGCACTGAAACCACTATGCCACACTGACTCTCACACAACCTGTGGTATACCACCCTTACAATAGATTAAGTAAACTCATCTTTTGCTCTGAATCTTCCCAGAAGATTCAGAGCCCTCCAGAGCACAGCCAGGTGACTGTTTACAATATGTTCTGCAGTGCCAGTCATTGCCACTGGTGCAATTCATTTCTTCTGAGGTCAGAACAAGGCACCCAGCCATGTAATTGATGTTGAGCACCTCATTTTCAGCTTCGGGGAGAAACTTGTGGTGGTGAGCACAAGAGGATACATGTAAACAGCTGTCCAGCATTGTTCTGGAGTGCCCCAGGAATTGGGGGGGATGACATGGGGGAGCTTTGGGGCCAGAGTATTCTGACCTGTGCAGACATGACCTACGTTTTGGCAAAAAAGAGAATCCTTCCAACCTTCACTTTGCTTTTGGAGCAGCTACAGTCAGGCCAGGGCTATGCTTGGAAGGCACCTGGCCATAGTGATACCTCCCTTTATGGGTTTCCTTCAAGAGATGCAAAACCTCTGATGGCTGCAGCCACTTTGGGCACTGCCAGATCACTATTTTCTCTGTCCAGCTAATAAGTTTATCAAAGTAAGTGGCAGTGAGTGTTCAGGGCAGTGCTGAGAAGTGCTGAGTTCTGCCACGCTTGTGTTTGTTTGTTTGTTTGTTTGTTTGTTTGTTTGTTTGTTTGTTTGTTTGTTTTTTGGGGGGTGGAGGAATGCAGGCAACCAGCATCAGCCTCAAAAGCAGCCTTTGGAGTCTGTACTTTTGTTAACTCTTATTGTCACAAATGAGTCCAAAAGGAGCATTCAGGAACTGCTACACAAAGTAATGGGAAACTGATGCAGATCCCTCTACAGCATTACAGAACTTCCAGTTCCATCTGGAAGTGCCTGGGATAAGAGAAATAGCAATTTAATTAAGTTTCTTGAAGTCATCTTCCCCAATTTTCCCAAACAGCATAGGAGGTGGCACTGGGGACATCAGGAAAAAGGGCAAACAGGAGAAAATTACCATTCTTCTGCCAGCACTACAGGAACTCTAGTAACCCAGAAGACTGGAAACAATCCAGTAATCTGGATCAGTTTCTTTCCTTCTCTCTTTTTCTTTCTTTCCTTCTTCCTTTTCTTAAAATTCCTTATTATCTGGTTGTATGGGGAGGGGGTCAACATTTATGTTCTTTTGTCATTGACATATGAATAAACTTCTACATATTTTCTGCAGGAATCTGTTTTGTTTGTTGATGCTTCCTTGTCTAGATTCATTAGCCATGCTGGTATCCTCTTGAACACTGTGGCAACTTTCCTGATCTGCTGAGCTTTGATTCTTGTGGTTCTCATTAACCCTCAAAAGACTGGAGAAATGTGACCCACTCAACTCTGCTTTTGATCTTCCTTTTTACCAATCCAGTCTCAGTCTTATTTTTTTTCAGGTTTCTTCTTTTGAAGTCGAATTATGGTGGAATTCCTTGGCAAATGTCCGCTTGCATATAAATTGAATTTTATAGGATTATACTCACTGTTTCTAGTTAGTTTACATCTTTTACATTTACATCTTCAATCAGGTCACACATTCCTGGCCCAATCTCTACAAACCTGATGGAATCATGCTCTGATCCTTAGCAGAATGATGATCAGAGCATGGTTAAATGATGTTTCCACCAGTTTGGAGGGACAGGTCCAGGAGAAGTTAGGGCCTTTGCAGACTGCTAGAAATAGTGTAAATTGAGTCCACTTTAAAGGTTAGGGTTAGGGTTAGGGTTAGGGTTAGGGTTAGGGTTAGGGTTAGGGAATCATGGGAACTGTATTTTATTGTGGCACCAGAGCTCTCTGACAGAGAAGGCTCAATGTCTCAGGAAAAAAAACAATTCCCATGATTCCCTAGCACTAACCCTAACCCTTAAAGTAGACTTCATTTGCACTATTTCTGGCAGTCTGCAAAGGCCCTTACTTACTTAAAATAAGCTGATAGAGGATTCTGACCAGAATTGTTACTATTCATTTCTTTCTCAGCAAAATCAGGACTGCTTCCAACAACTCATATATATAACAGAATGTGTATACTAAACACATAAAAATTATATATTTTTTAAAAAATAGGGTTTTAAAAAACACTGCAGATTACTAATCCATATATTAGTAGCGGAGAGTAGTGGAGTCTCCTTCCCTGGAGGTCTTTAAGCAGAGGCTGGATGGCCATCTGTCAGGGATGCTTTGATTGGGAGTTCCTGCATGGCAGGGGGTTGGACTGGATGGCCCTTGTGGTCTCTTTCAACTCTATGATTCTATGATTCTATGATTCTATATCTTGTCCTCCCAGTTTGCATAGAGCATAATACATTAATTTACAACCTTAAAATTATGGTTTAAGAAAAGGTTTAAAAATGGGGAGCTGAATAGAAAAGTATTTAGATTCTGAGTTTTTGTGGGTTTTTCAGGCTAGAAGATTTATTCCTGTCGTTTCACCAACATCTGTGGCTGGCATCTTCAGAAAATGCTGGCATAGAAGTGAGTGGGGTATATATATATATATATATATATACTGTGTTACCCTTGATTGAGAGAAGGCAATTTACATGTTACTTTGTGTGTCGTTGAATTACAAGGCCTCAGGGTGGAAGGATATGCAAGGAGGCATTGTGTCTATTTAATTATTTCAGGATTGGCAGCCAAACTTTGGAGCTGAACAGACTGGCACTTTAGGCTGGCCTGGGGGAGAAGTGGGGGCGTGGTGACCTCACACCAGCCTCCCCAACTCTACCCCCACATCGTCATGTCATGTGCCCCACCGCACAGTGGGAGGTATCAGGGCACTCCTTTGGTGCAACATTCACACACACTGCATCAAATGAGCACTGAAAAGCCACCACTGCGGCAGTAAGGGTGGCATTTGCCAGCTCTTTATAGAGTGGCAAAGCATTGGATTGGGCCAGTCTGTTCAGCCCCTTTGTTTACTTTAAGGGTTTCTTCTTTCCTGTTGAAATTGTCTAGGTGTCTGTGAATTTCAATGGCTTCCCTGTGCATTCTGAACTGATAGTTGTTGGCATGGTCCAAAATTTTGGTGTTTTCAAATAGAATTTTATGCCCAGGATGGTTTATAAGGTGTTCTGCTACTGCTGATTTTCCTGGTTAATTCAGTATGCAGTGTTTCTCATGTTCCTTGTTTCATGTTCGACCACTGCGTTTGGTGGTCCCTATGTAGACTTGTCTACAGCTTCATAATATGTGGTAAACTCCTGTGTCTGTGAGAAGGTCTCTCCTGTCCTTCTCTGAGCACAGCATTTGCTGGATTTTCTTGGTAGGTTTGTATATCATTTGGAGGTTGTGTTTCCTCATCACTTTCCCTATTCTGTCTGTGACTCCTTTGATGTATGATACAAATACCTTCCCTTTGGGTGGTTGAGCAAAATATCAGGAATAAAATCTTTTAGAACACAGCCACAGCTGGGAAAGCCTTCGACTTCATATATAGATTCTATTTAAATGTCTAGAAGTTACAGAGTAAAAACTACTCTTAATCATATCCACAGGGTGGCAGCCTAACTCCACTTTCAGACTGAAAATAAATTAGGTATCTAGCTCTTCTAGGTCTGTTCTAGACTGCTTTTAAAGCCCCTGTTCATTAGGATATTCCAGAAACATTACTGAAAAAGGTTGACTTATTAGTATTAGCCATTACTTGCCAAATTAAAAAAACCCAAAATATATTAATATTACTAATTGTTTTGGGATGACTGGTTGTAATGCATTATTTTTGTTATTTTTAATTGATATTATTTATTTATTAAAGGAAAACCTCCCTGTCACTATATCTATCTATCTGGAGTGACTGAGAGGTTTTCCAATTTTAAAGAATGTATATGTGTGTACACAAACACACACACACACATTTTCAATCAAGAAGTCAATGAATACTCTTTACACCAAAGATCAGTAAAATTAAAGGGTGTCATTGTTATGTCCTCGTTATAACAAAGATTAATGTGCAAATGGAATTATCAATAACAAGATATATTCAGTTTCTGGCAACTGTGAGTTGATACCATCCACTAAGTCACAAATGTTTTTCATGAGAGCATGGCACCAACTAAGAAAGAAATTCTCCACTTCCTATGGAACTTAAGAAAATGAACTGTTTAGAGAACATATTTTCATCTTTTTATCATATAAGGAAGTAAGTATTTGCTCTGATTTTTTAGTGTCTCAGAGTATCTTAAGAGACAACACTTTAAAGAAGGAGGGTCTAAGCCTTATTAAAAGATTAAAGCACTACTTATTAAATTTATTTCAGGCATTTGCAGGATTTTAAAATATCCCACAGCCTTAATTTGGGAAATATGAACAATATAATTTTACAGTATCTTTCGATTTGTTAATGTCTTTCATAGTCTACAGACCGCTTCAACAGGTGCATGGAATGTTGTGATTTATTTCAAAAACTAGTGTAAGCCTAAACAGGTAAATTAGGAAGTGTGTTCAGCATGGTTAGGAGAAATTAAATGAAAAAAAGATAAGGTGTTATCATTCAACAGTGACCATTAACAAATATTGGGTGGTAGCTCATGTATTCTTCACTGTACTGAATAAGACATGAATGATTAGCAACACAGATAAATAAACTGATTTGAACATTCTTAGAAATACTGGGCATACTGTTATTGTTTTAATGTAAGAAATAGCTTTTAGGATAAAAATTTTTTTTTAAAAAAGCTATGGACTGAAAGCAATAGTTGATTCACAACTGATTGGATGAAATATTTAAACTCAACAGCTCAAACTGGAGATTTTCAGAAAGTCTATCTATCATAGTATAGTAATTTTGCTGCACTCAGCCTTATAATAATAATAAATTTTTATTTATAGCCCGCCCCTCTGCGTGGCAATCGGGGCGGGTTACAGCAATTAAAACAGACAAAGTTAAAACATTCTCTCATCCCACAATCCAACCCTCCTATCCCCTTAAAACAGAATTAAACTTAAAGAAGATTAAAATACGACAATGCAATAAAAGCAATAT